CCTACTTTTGTTCTTTTGAGATCATGTATGATCGAACTTGTGTAACCTTGGTTTTGAATTCTGTTAAATACTGACTATTAAATGATCATGGACTTATGTAATGCAGAATATGGATATTTGAGTATTGTGAGTTATTACACATATGAGAAAGTTTTTGGTTAAACCATGTATGCATAGCTCGTTGGGCAATTTTTTTTGTAAGTTCTGCTTCTCCAGCTTGGCCCCCTATTATTAAATATGATTTGATTTCTGACTGAGGCCGTAGGTAATCTCATGATTACTGGCCGGTTATGACTCTAATCCATAGGAGCGGGTTTGGGTCATGACACTCATGGACACCCAAAAACATTTTCCCACATTTTTCGGGTGATGTGCGCAGACAGGGCAATTGGGCATCTTGACTCCCCACGCAGGTACCAATTACAACACAACACAACCCAACACTACTCAACCCAATTCAACACAACTCAACTCAACTGAACACAACTCAACTCAACTCAACATAACGCAACTCAACTCAATATAACTCAGCTCAACTCAACATAACTCAACTCATTTCTTAAATCTCCACTTCATCATTTCATGACAAATCTCATATCATCTATACAATTCACAATTCAAAATCCCTGAACTCAATCTCATCTCATAGCGCAACTCAGAATATCAACAAGAGTTTAATCGCAATTTTTACATGGATTTTCCAAACATTTTCAAAATTCAATTAAACATGGATATGTGCAATTTAACACCTCTACTTCATGATGCCACTTTCAATTTAAGCAAAAACCATCAACCATTTTAATGAGCCAAACTAAGGTTTTGGAAGAAATTGAAGCTTTTCACAAAAACACTTTTTTAATCCAACTCTTCTATTCATCATTCACACAAAATCATAACCCAACCCAAGAAGATAAACCCCCGAACATCAAACACAAACCCCCAATCTCTTGATTTATCACAAAATGCATAAAAGATAAATTTTGTATAAGGACAATACCACAAACCGATCCATAAATGGAAGTATTGAAAAAGAATTAGAAATCCCTACCTCAAAAGAAGAAAAGATGAAAAAACCTCTAAACAAATAGCTCAACACTCGGCGCAAGACTTACATATCACACATAGTATGTACTTGAAGAATTAGAACATAAACGATGCAACAAATGGCTTAAACCTAACTTCAACCTTATGCCTAACTCAAAACATTGCTAACATGCTCATAGAGTGCTGAAATGCAAGTTCGAGATGTCCTGAGGGGTCCCATATGCAAGAAAACATGAAAAACATGGTCAATTGAAAACTTAATCCATGAATTAAGCCTAATTTAATGATTTCTGCTTCATAAATTTGAACACAAAACTCATCTTCAAAATAATCTTCTCAAACTCAATTAACCAACCTCAATAGAGTCTCAAAGCTCCAAAAATAAGTGAAAACAATTGAGAGAATAATTCAAGATTCAAAACAATCTCCAAGTTTTCTGATTTGTAGATTTAACATGAAAATTTGTTTTAAAAATCATTAACGAACTTCAAATTCCTTTCATCAAATGAGTCATAAAGTTCTAAAAAAATGTTAGATAACATCATCTGAAAGATTTATTCAAGATTCAAAACAAATTTTCAAAATCTCTTATTCGCTATTTTAAACTTGACAAAACTTTCTTGAATCTTCAAATACACATGCAACATATGCTATAAACAAAATCAATACAAGATTTCTACCTTAAATCTACAATAAATGTAATGATACATGGATGATTGTGAGTGATTACATGAGAATCCATCTATTCTAAACAAAACTCATGAAATCTCTCCTCAAAACTTCCATATACATGCAATTGATCTTACAAAACAAGATTGATACATGATTTCTCTCATAAAATCATGAAAAATGCATGCATACAAGGATGAAACCCAAGATAGATGCATGAACTCATCAATCTCAAACCCTAGATTGCAAAGTTCCATGAACTTCTCTACAAAACCCAAAATACAAGCTCTAGAATGTGAATCCATGCAAAATAAGATCAAAACATGAAAAAGATAGAGAAATCTTACTTTAAGATGAAGAAATCAAGAAGCCCTAACTTCTCATCTTCCTCCTCCTCTCTCTAACCTCTCAACATAAAACATACAAGCAAACACCAACTCACTCTACATCTCTATTTAACCCAAAAAGATGACTAAATCACCCAAACAGAGCGTTAACTTACCAAATTAAAATTAACATAAAATAGCTCATCAAACTAATTAAATATAGTTAATCTAATCCTATACAACCCTTAATTACACAATTAAACTTGAATTAGGCTCATACCGATTAAATTACAATTATTCAGTCATATTTAAATCACTGAATCAAAAACTTATAAACATATAAATTTTACAATTAAACATGAAATAATCATTTATATCTAAATTTCATAGCAATAAATTAATCTTACACATGTCAATTTAGATTGTGAAGTCTTATACAAAATTTCTCAATCAATCTGAAAATTAGCGAATCAAACAAATTTGTCCTATCATAAATTAAATTCTCATACATGCAATTAAACATAAGACATGACTCATATGCGAATATCATGATTATAAATCAATCCTATACATGACAAATTAAATATTTAAGGTCTCATATTAGCTCTTCCAAATTGGAATTAATCTCTTTATCACATAATTCACACAACACTTATACTAACACATGAAAAAGCAATTATCACAAGCAAGGCTAATTAATAATAAAATAATCTGTGGAGAAGTGGTTTGGAAATTCTCTTTGGATCCTGTAGGACGCTCATGATCCTCAGCTAGTCACCTGAAAAGGAATGAACACTCCAGTCGGGGGTGCCGGAATTAGCACTCCGACGGATAAGTTAGTGTATACTCTTTTGGTTGCTTATATCTCAAGTTAAACTTGTTCTCACATACCTTTCTCTGGCTAATGCTCCTCTATTTACATTTTTCCTTTGGGCCTTAGGGTCGGGCCCACCCTTAATCCATTGCACGTTTATTTATTTGGCTTTTGTTCGGCTGGTTAGAATGCCGATTAGTCTATTCGGCCCTGTGATCATCTAGGATGAAACTGAATACAAATTCCGTCCTTGACTGTCCTCATACCGTTATTTGGCATTTTTTCCCCCACAATATTCGACTCCCACAATTGCCCCCCAAACATCCTATTAACGCCAGTTAGTACCACGTTTGGTTTCAAATTTGAAAAGTCAAGGAAAGAACGGCGGCTAACCTCATTCCAACATATGTCAGAGCACACGCTTTTCAGGCATTATTACATCTTCCCACCTCTTTTTGAATACTCAAAGCTTCTGGTTTGCCTTTCGATATACCTCTATTTCGTGACCTCTGCAACTTCCTCCTGTTTCTCATTGTCTCTTCTGCCTCTTGTAAGTTTTCTTCTCCTTCACTTCGAATCCTATTTCCTTGTTTATTTTTAGTTTTGATTAATCCTTAGGCTGGCTAGGGTGGAAAAACATTTGAAAGAACTCCTTTCTGTGGATCAAATTTCCTGCTTCGGACACCATTATTCCATCCTCGATGACGTCTATCTGTCACTCGTGGCAGATAGCACCACTGATATAGAGAGGACTGATGAGAGTACAATCATCTTTCCTCTCCTATCGATTGCTGAGGACGGAGTCCGTTTTTCCCTTCACCCATTTTTAAGGGCCATCCTTCGACATTGGGGTCTAATCCCTTCCCAACCTAACATAAATTTTTTTCTGAATCATAATGGGGATCAACGCCTTAGGATTAACCTTGGTATACCTGCAATTCGGCATTGTTATGCCTTAGCCAAGTCTACTGGTCGGCTGGGACACTATTTTCTCAGGGCCAAGGATACCGATCATCACTTAGTGACTATACTTGCCAGCTCTGGCAAGCGTGTTGACGATGTAATGGTCATTATCCGAGGCAATTGGGAATTCGACGAGGGTGAAGATCACCTAGATCCCGTGCCAAGGAGAAAAGGCGAACCAGGTGGCCGTATAGCTCATTTTTGTTTTTTTATTATCATATACGTATTCGGCTTTCCTTCTATGTACTTACCGTTTTGTTTATGCAGGCAACGATTTGAAGAAAGTGTTGGTTTCAGCCGACGATTCCGTACTTGTGGAAATTAAAATTGCACTACAGTTCTTTGGCCGTCCAAGCCTTCAGAAACAAGGGAGGGCGGCCCACATTGGCCCCGTTTGGTGTAGCTGTTAAAACAGCTTATAGATTATAGCTTAACAAATTATAGATTATGACTTTAATCAGAAGTTGTTAATCTGTTTGGTGTAACTGTTGGATTATAGATTTAAGTTGCTGAGTAGTGTTTGTTAAATATGCTGTGAAATAGTTTTTTCAATTAATTTTTATTTTTTGTTTGTCTACATTTCTCATAAAAAATAATAATAATAATCTATAGTCCATTTGAGTCTTTTTCTACTTTTAAAAAAGTAAAAAATAAAAAAATTTAAGAGTATAACCATAAATTAACATGTCCACAGCAGAAGCTGATAATCAGAAGTAAGGGGTGAGCAGCTTCTCAGAATCAGCTTTTTTGAGTTAAAATAAGCTGTTAGAATTAGAAGCTGTTTGAAATAAGTTTAACCAAACAGTCCAAAATAACTTTTTCAAAGCTAAAAGCCATAAGTTGGCTCTAAAAAGCTGAAACAAACACCCCCATTCTCCTGTAATACGAGCCAACTTACGCAACATTTTCGACGGCAGACAACATTCTAATTCCGAGAGGCGAAGAGCATCTTATGGCCCTTATCTTCCCCAACTTCAAAAACCTAAGGCAGATTGGTTTGGAAGCCTCCGATTCGGAGCAGGTGGAAGAACAAGTAGCCGAAGCGGTCGCCGAGGAGCTGAACTAGTCGGAAGCTAAGGTAGACGAGGCTCTAAACTTGGCCTTTGGGGAAGCTAGACTCAATTCATCTAACCCTCCATCCACTTCAGGCTGAGGGGACGTCTTATTTGAAGACATTTATACAGACTTAGAAGACCTTCCTGGTGCTAACCCTGAGAATATGGCTGGGGAATCGCTCACACAACTTGTCAGGAGGAAGAACGCCGAAAGGATGGCCGCCCGGAGGAGAGCCAAGGCTGTCCGATTGGAAACTCCACCCACCGCCGTTGCTGAGTCCTCTTTGCTTGTTATTGCGGAAGAAACAGCTCAGACTAAAATGGCCGAGACAGAGCAGGTAGAACAAGGGGATCAAGAGGCTGAGCAAAGGGTGAAAAAGCATCCCGCCGAGCGAGAAGCCGTCCCTAATAAGGACCAAACTGATAAACGGCCGCGCATTGAGGACTCGGACTTGGTTGTTCCGTTCACTATTCAACCAAGGATAAAGAATATGTCGATTGCCTCTGATGCGTCGGCTTAAAGGACCCGGGCTGTGGCCTTGAGCATGGCCTCCTCAATTTCCCTACCGGTTGACAGAGCCACATTTCGAGCGAAGCCAGATTTAATGTTAATTGCATTAGCTACTCAATCGGCCGTATTGGTACATTACTTGCCTAATCTGTAGTCTTCTGCCTAGATGTATATATATATATATTTTTCTTATTATTATATATATATATATATATATATTTTTTTTGTAACTCTATTTTCTTGCTTTGCGGACTGTGGACAAGATAGCCGAGACAACATGACGCTATAGAATAGATCAGCTTCTTGAAAATCGAAATTGAAAATGAAAAGAGCAAGGCTGTGGTAGCCTCTTAAAAGACCGATTTCGAGGCATCGAAAGCGGCGGAGGAACTTGCAAGAGCCGACTCCAAGGCTGAGAGCGCGAGGAATTCTGACCAACTCAGGTTGGCCATCGAAGAGAGGGCAAAAGCGAGTGAAGACGCGCTCAAGTTAGCCAAAGAGGTGATCGCCAAGCTGGAAGCAAATTTGGAAGAGTCGAGGAAGGCAAAGGAAATAGCTGACTCTGAGATTTCCAAAGTGTTCCAAGCTGGGAAGGACGCCGCCTTGGAAAACTACGTGGAAGAAGTGCCCAAGTTCGAGAATCGGGGCTTCAAACACAGCTGGCTCAAAGCCCTTACTGCCGCGAATATGACATTGGCGCAATTGATTCCATACGAGCAGGTGGACGTTGAGCCGCTGGAGTCTAACCCTGAAGATTGATTAGAAGATATTTTGGTTTTTGGTAGGCATCTTAGATGCATTGTTTTTGTAGGTTTTTGTTAGTAGATTTCCATTTCTTTACTTCGACTAGAAGTTTAAATATAAGGTAATTTTCATGTGTAAAATGACGGCTATTTGTGCTCAATTTATTAATGAAAATTTTCTACGTTTTCCAGTTTACTGCATAAACTATTTGTCTTCAATTTATTAATGACAATTCCTTATACTTTTCTGTTTGCTACATGAGTAAATTAAACATCCGATAAATTAACCGAATCAATTAAACATCCTATGCCTGTTTACTAATTAGCCAAATAAGTAAATGAAACGGCAGTTAACAATTTGGAAATGTGCATGAATATTCGATAAACTAACGAGTAAAACAGCTCAAGGCCTCGACGTCTGGCCGATTAGATTAATGCATCTGCCCCAGCTGCACGAACTCAATCGCCGAATTCAATTAGCTCATAGAACGGCTGGGGCACATGAGATGATCGGCATCAGGCCTGGACATTTGGCCGATTAGATTAAGGAATCTGCCTTGCCCCAGATGGTGCATGAACTGGAAAGCCGAATTCAATTAGCTCATGGAGCGGTTGGGGCACATAAGATGATCGGCACTAGGCCTTGAAATTTAGCATTGATGAGATCGGCTTGAGGGTGCTGCACCTGTAATGTATAAATGGGGCGGGTGGTGGGTGCGCGGAGGGGCCATTATTGCGTTCAGAGCTAATAAATTAAGGGAGGAAAAGAGCAGTGTGGACAATTGTGGATGGCAAGAGAATTATTCTTCAACAGCAGAGGAGAAGGGAGGACACTCGCAGAGTTAAACGCAGAGATAAATCGAGGTGGCGAGCCTACGAGCACGGGGAGTAAGACGTCCAGGGAACGTGAAAAACACCAGTCCCCACGTCGTCGAAGTAGGTCACCCAGAAGGGAAAAACTGCAACGGGGCAGCCCCTCTTAACCACGCTCGAGCGGAGAAACCAGTGCGGCATCACGCCCTTTAAGTTTTGCGGTTTTCATGGGGAACAAACCGATGACGGAAGCGGATTCAATTGTGCAGGGCCCAAATGTGGCAGTCGAGTTTGCTCAACAAATTTTTCCACCAGAAGTCCAGCAGTCGATGGTCGGTCGACCTGATTTCGAAGTGTTTCGTGAGGGCATCTATGGAGTGGTGAAAGGGCTGTATACCGCCTATGAAATCGGCATGCGTCTTCGTGCCGTGCGGTGGGAGATAGACCAGAAGGATGAAAGCATTCGAAACTTAGAAGCTCGCACGGAGAAGGCCGAGCGCGAACTAAGAAAGGTCAAAACTACCGAGACACAATCAGTCAGCCAAGCTAACCCGATTGTGGAAGAAAGGGTGACCCAACGGCTTATAAGTCAGGCGATTGTTGATCGTGATACGAAAAGCATGTTTGCAATAGAGGCCGCAAAGACTAGGTCTTATGAACAAGGCTTCCATGATGGCCGAAAAGTTGGGATACAGATGACTAAGAAAAAGCTCGCCAAGGAGGTCTGCCGATGCGAGAACCATGGATCTAAGCACGGGTGGGTCAAGGCTCTCCAGGCCGCAAAGGCTCTCCGGGTAACAGGCGTTGATTCAGTGTCGCCGTTATATTAGAGTCATCATTTTCCCTTTGCGGCTTTCGAAGTCGAGAAGAGCGATGACAAGAAGGATACCGAATAAAACTGAACATATTGTACCGCTCTAATGTAGATTGGGAGCGATTTATGTATTATCGATTAATTCAATGAAACATATTATTTTAAATGTCTGCATGTTTCAATTTATGTTTATAAATTCAGTTATGATCATCTTCCAGTTTTCGTCAATTGCGTTTATGCTTGTCAATCATAATATTTATGAAAAGCGCACCGAATTGAATCATAATATTTTGGTCAACATATTGTATGGCTCGAACGTGTCATTCACGGATAGGGCTCCGAATTCGGAGGCTTGTAACTTAGCAAATCGTGAATTCCACGAAGGGCACTCTGAATCCGGAGGCTTACTCGGCCCAAACGTGTCTTGCACGGATGGGGCTCCGAATTCAGAGTCTTTTAACTTGGCCAATTGTGAATTCCACGAAGGGCGCTCTGAATCCAGAGGCTTACTCGGCCCAAACGTGTCTTGCACAGATGGGGCTCCGAATTTGGAGTCTTTTAACTTGGCCAATCATGAATTCCACGAACGGTGCTCCGAATCCAGAGGCTTACTCAGCCCAAACGTGTCATTCACGAAGAGCGCTCCGAATTCAGAGGCTTACTCGGCCGAAACGTGTCTTACACGGATAGGGCTCCGAATTCGGAGGCTGTTAACTTGGCCAATCGTGAATTCTACAAAGGGCGCTTCGAATTTGGAGGCTTGCTCGGCCCAAACGTGTCATTCACTGATGGGGCTCCGAATTCGGAGACTTTTAACTTGGCCAATCGTGAATTCCATGAAGGGCACTCCGAATCCGAAGGCTTACTCGGCCCAAACGTGTCATTCACGAATAGGGCTCCAAATTCGGAGGCTTTTAACTTGGCTAATCGTGACTACGCTCCGAATCCAGAGGCTTACTCGGCCCAAACGTGTCTTGCACGGATGGGGCTCCGAATTCGGAATCTTTTAACTTGGCCAATCGTGAAATCCATGAAGGGCGCTCCGAATTCAGAGGCTTTCATCTTCGGACTAAAATTTCATATAGTGAGATATGAAGTCTTGCATTATAAAAGTGAAAGTTGTACACGGCAAACATTCAAAACAAGTTGTCATGCCCCATAAGTCGGGTTAATGATAAAATTTACGCAAATGCGTGGAATTCCAAGGATGTGGAAGACTTCTCCCAGACATGTCTTTGAGTCGATATGCCCCTATTCCCGCGATTGAATCGATCTGATAGGGGTCGTTCCAATTAGGACCCAGTTTTTCGTCCGCCGGATTCCTGGCAGCTGGAAGTACTTTCTTGAGGACTAATTTTCCTAGTGTATAACGGCATAGCTGAACACGTTGATTATATGACTTAGCAAGCTGTTACTGGTACCGTGCCATGGATGCAAGGGCACGGTCTCGTCGTTCTTCAACCAGAGTCAAATCCAAGGCCAACATCATGTCATTTCGGCCTATATCAAAAACTTTTGATTTCAAGTTTGGCAGGCCGATCTCCAGGGGGATGATTGCCTAGGTTCCGAAGCATAAAGAAAATGGCGTTTCCCTAGTGGATCGCCTCAAAGTAGTGCGATGAGCCCACAATACACTCTTCAATTCTTCGACCCATCTGCCTTTAGCTTTCTCCATCCTCTTCTTGATGCCATTCAAGATGGCTTTGTTAGAGGCTTCAGCTTGACCATTGCTCTGTGGATAAGCCAGGGTGGAGAAATAGGGCCAAATACCATACGTGCTGCATAATTCTCGGTAGACGCCGCAATCAAACTGGGTGCCTTTGTCTGAAATGAGTGCTCTTGGAATGTCGAATCGTGTTATGATATTCTTCCACGCACAACGCCTACCATCAGTATCTCGAATGTGTGTTAATGCCTCCGTTTCAACCCATTTTGTGAAGTAATCTATTGCGACAATCAAGAATCGCTTGTTCCCTAGGGCCCGTGGCAATGGCCCGATGATATCAAGCCTCCATTGAGCAAACGGCCAAGGATTGGTGATTGAGCTCAACTCCTCAACAGGAAAATGGGTTAAAGGGGAAAACTTCTGACATTGTTCACATTTCTTGACGTAACATTCGGCATCAGCTCTCATGGTCAGCCAGTAGTACCGCTGTGTTACAGCTCGATGAGCCAAAGAACGCCCACCAGAACGGACACCGCAACTACCTTTGTGTATTTCAGTCAAGAGTTCTTCGACTTTATCCGGATGAACACATTCTAGGCATGGACCAAAAAGGGATTTTTTGTAGAGCTTTCCTTGCGGATCAAAGTAATATCGCAAGTCTTTGTTTCGCAATTTGTGCACTTCTTTCTTGTCCGTCGGGAGCTGTTCGAAAGATAGAAATGCAGTGATAGGGTCTATCCAACTTGGACCTGATTCTACGATATTGATTTGAATTGACTCTGAGGGGGCAATGCTTAGCTCAGGGATGAATCCTACTACAATTGTCCGCTTAATTTCTGAGTTGGTGGTGGAGGCTAGGCAAGCCAGGGTGTTTGCATGTGTGTTCTGATCCCGGGTAATTTGATTTAATTCATGATGGTCAAATTTTGCCAGCAAAGAGTTCGTCGTTTTCATGTAAGCTGCCATACGGTCATTTTTGGCTGCGTATTCCCCCTTCAATTAGTTGATGACTAACTTTGAGTCACAGAAGACAAGAAGATATTGAGCTCCAAGGAGATGTGCGTTCCATAAGCCGGTTAACAATGCTTTGTATTCGGCCTCATTGTTCAATGCTTCGAAGCCCAGTTTGAAAGCCTGCTCAATTATTGCCCCGTCGGGAGTCATGATCACTACGCCCGCCCCACTACCGCATTGGTTGGATGAGCCGTAACAGTACAACTACCAAATGTCCCCAACGTAAATTCTCTAATTCAGCTTAGGTTGAAATTGATCAGACTTAAAGCCGGCGAGACATCCGGTGAATTCTGCCACAAGGTCTGCGAGCACTTGCCCCTTGATTGAGGTTTTGGGTAGAAATTGAATATTGTACTGGCCGAGTTCGAGAGCCCATTTTGAAACGCACCCTGATGCTTCTGGACTACGGAGTACTGAGCGGAGGGGGTAGTCTGTTAGTACCCCAATGGTATGAACCTGAAAGTAATGCATCAGTTTTCTCACTGCCATGATAAGAGCAAGGACGAGTTTTTCCAACAGAAGGTAACGTGTTTCGGCGTCAACCATTGCTTTGCTCACATAATAAACTGGCCGCTACTCCCCTAGTTTTTCCTTTAACAGTACGGCGCTGACGGCCCAGTCGAAAACTGCCAGATATAAAATGAGCGGATCACCTGCCGAAGGTGTTGTCAAGAGTGGCATTGATCGGAGGTAAGTCTTCAAACTGTCC